AGGGGCAGTTTGGCAATTTTAAGACTCCCCGTTTTCCTAAGTTGTATGCCTATTGTTGCCTCGAATGATAACATGTTATTTTAAAATGACATTTTAACATTTTACTGCAACGCTCTCTACATGGGGCTCCCCTTGAGGAGCACCCGGAGGCTCCAACTGGTCCAGAATGCGGCCGCGCGGGTAGTTACGGGAGCTGCCTGGCGCTCCCACATAACACCGCTCCTGCGCGAGCTGCACTGGCTCCCAGTGGTCTTTTCCGAGTGCGCTTCAAGGTGTTGGTCACCACCTTTAAAGCGCTCCATGGCATAGGACCTAGTTATCTTAGAGACCACCTGCTGCTACCGATGACCTCCCACCGACCTGTGCGCTCCCACAAAGAGGGCCTCCTCGGGGTGCCATCAGCCAAACAATGTAGGCTGGTGACCCCCAGGGGGAGGGCCTTCTCTGTGGGGGCACCCACCCTCTGGAATCAGCTGCCCCCAGAGATAAGGAGAATCCAAGACTTCGGTGCCTTCCGCCGTGCCCTTAAAACCCACTTTTTCCAAGCAAGCCGGGCTGGCTTAATATATTTTTAAAATATTTTTAATTGGTTTGTTATTTTAAATTGGGGCCAAATTAATATATGTCTTTTTAATTGTTTTTAATGTTTGTATTGTATGTTCTTATCTGGCTGTACACCGCCCTGAGTCCCTCGGGAGAAGGTGCGGTATATAAATTCGAAATAAAATAAAATAAAAAAATAAAATAAATAAAAAATGGAATAAAGCTGGCATTGCTCTCTTTGGCTGACTTATTCTTCTCATTTTGCTGAATAGGCTCTGGATCTTTACCCCAAAGTCTGACTTGGGTGGCACATTTACTTTGGTGGGGAACCAAAAATGTTGCCGAAGAAACAAAAAGAAAACCCCAAACTAATTTTATTTTCATCCCGTCTTATCAGAGACTAAAATGAACAGCAAAGGTTGTGAATTAAAATAAGTATCATCGTTGTCACCATCTTCCTCCAAACCAGTGGTGGGTTTCAAATTTTTTTTACCATTGATTCTGTGGGTGTGGCTTGATGGGTGTGGCTTGATGGGCGTGGCAGGGGAAGGATACTGCAAAATCTCCATTCCCTCCCCACTCCAGGGGAAGGATATTGCAAAATCTCCATTCCCAACCCACTCCAGGGGAAGGATATTGCAAAATCTCCATTTCCACCCCACACCAGGGGAAGGATACTGCAAAATCCCCATTCCCTCCCCACTCCTGGAGGAAGGATATTGCAAAATCTCCATTCCCACCCCACACCAGGGGAAGGATACTGTAAAATCCTCATTTCCTCCCGATCAGATGGGACTCGGGAGTTAGAGAATAGATGGGGATGGGGCCAGTCAGAAGTGATATTTACCGGTTTTCCGAACTACTCAAAATTTCCACTACCGGTTCTCCAGAACTGGTCAAAACCTGCTGAAACCCATCTCTACTCCAAACATGTATATTTCTTAGTATTCATAGACACTTTTAAAATCATGGAGACAATTCTGATTCCTCGCCACAAATGTTAGTTGCTGCCACTAAGAATTTCTTTACGCATATTGCTTTTTTAAAAAAATATGTCTTATCTGGAAGCTTTGACGAGTGGAGTGGCAAAGCGCTATAGAATATAGAGGAAAGCAAGATAGAGTTAGCTTTAACATGAAGACTTGCAGGAGTTTTTCTTGTCTTTCTATAGCTCACATTTTTTAGTTAATAACCCCAAGGAAAGAGACTTTGGTTTTATTGATTGGTGAATTCTCTTGGCAACTTTTTAAGCTGAAGAACGAAGTATCGGTGATCAATAGAATAAATCTACTTTCTCATTCCAAACGGAGGTATCCAAACAAGCCAATGACAGCGAGAAGGTGATGTAAAATCAAACAGTAATTTTTTATTTCGAAACAAATACACATCAAAGAGAGCTACGAAGCCCAAATCTACAGGGAACCGAGTGAAAAATAGAAATATAGGAATCCCAAAATCCTTGCTAAAAGCAAAAGGCTTTCAAATCCTATGTGTGCTTAGATATACATCGTATTATATTCAGTGGGGATTTCTTCCAGATAAGTGGATATAATATTGCAGCTTAGAATTCCTGGATCGCTTTAGACTGCTAGAAATGCTTCGCAACCATTCGTTGAGACCTGAGCCTTGGCACAAACCTGTGGGTTCCCCAGATAGTAACCCTCTTTACATGTAGTTCTTTTCTATGAGATGTTATTATCTCCTTTTCATTAACACCATAATACATGAAAGCTGTGTGCAAAGTAGGCCTTGATACCACCAGTATCCTAAGTTGACATTATTTTAAAGCTAGAACATTTTAAAGACAGCATACTGGGTCCACGGTATAATTGAAACAATTGTAAGGCAGAGCCTTATTCTTGACTACATATTGATGCTAGGTGAGTGGATCCTAGCTGAATTCCGGTACCCCATGGAGGCAACATCCCACTAATTCTCAGAAACTGAGCAATTTGGAATCATGTAGAATAAAAAGAAGAACAAGGGGTGACATGACAGCAGTGTTCCAATACATGAAGGGCTGCCACAAAGAAGAGAGGGTCAACTTATTTTTCCAAAGCACCAGAAGGCAAGACAAGAAGCAATGAATGGAAACTAACCTGGGAGAGAAGCAACCTAGAACTAAGGGGAAATTTCCTGACAGTGAGAACAATGAACCAGTGAATGGCTTGCCTTCAGAAGTTTTTTTTTTTTTTTTTTAATTTCATTTATATGCTGCCCTTCTCCGGAGACTCAGGGCGGCTTACAATGTGCTCAGCAATAGCCTTCATCCTTTTGTATATTTATACAAAGTCAGCTTATTGCCCCCACAACTGGGTCCTCAATTTACCTACCTTAGAAAGGATGGAAGGCTGAGTCAACCTTGAGCCTTGGTGAGATTCGAACCTGCAGTAATTGCAGGCAGCTGGTCTTAATAACAGGGTGCTTTAGACCACTGTACTACCAAGGCTCTATTGTTATTTATTTATTTATTGTTTATTTATTGGTTCGATTTATATGCCACCCTTTTCCGGAGACTCAGGGCGGCTTACAATGCGTTAAGCAATAGCCTTCATACTTTTGTATATACCTGCTTAGTAGGGCTTTCGCCCCCCCCCACCCAAACAGTGTTCTTTTTTATACAAAGTCAGCTTATTGCCCCCACAATCCGGGTCCTCATTTTACCTACCTCGAAAGGATGGAAGGCTGAGTCAACCTTGAGCCTGGTGAGATTTGAACTCGCAGTAATTGCAGACAGCTGGTGCTACTTAATAGCACTTTAGTCTGCTGCGCCACCAAGGCAGGGGGTTGGATTAGAAGACCTCCAAGGTCCCTTCCAACTCTGATGTTCTGGAGTTCTGTTGGGTTGGTGCATACCCGTATCTTATTTCAATGGTGAAACACACAAGAAATACAAGAGAAACACACAACCAGGACAAAAACATTGTCCCACACATGTGATTCCCAATGAACATTATTGAAGGGAAGCCTGTCTCCCATTCTGCAGAAGACATATAATCTTCACGACCAAAATCATCACGTGTTTTCCCAGACCACAGCCTGTGTGGAATCATAAATATGACAGTCTTTAAGGTGCCATAAAGTCTTAGGTTCTTCCCTTCTGGGAAAGGCTGAAAACAAAAATTAGCCATAGAAATTAAGCCTGGGAACATGTTCAGTCAGGAGAATTGAATGGTCAAATTTGATGTTCTAAATGAATCCTGTTGAGTTATAAATTCTTGCGCATTTTCAGAAATGGTTTTCTTCCTTTGAATTTTATTTTTTTTTATTACATTTTTATGCTGCCCATAGCCCCTATAACAGTGATGGCAAATGTGCATGCGCTCATCGGGGCCATGCTCCGGAAAAGCCGAACTTACGGGTTCTAGCGCACATGCGCGTCTAATGATCAGCTAGCTGGTGTGTATGCGCTTGGCGGTTTTCAGCACATGTGAAGGGATCGCACTCTGGAAAAGCCAAACTTCCAGGTTCTGGCATGCATGCACACCCAACAATCAGCTGGCCAGCACGCATGCGCACACAGGTTTTTGGCAGTGCCGTGCATGTGAAGGACAGCTGATCGTCACGTGCACATGCGTGCCGGAAACCCGGAAGACAAACAGGCAAGGCCATGCGTGCCGTGTGACATGGCTTCACATGCCGCTTTGGTCATGCGTGCCATAGGTTCGCCATCGAGGCCCGATAAGGTGACTCTGGGCAATTATGAATTAATCCCATTTGAGGATCCAATTTGAATGTACATATTGGATTAATTTCTTGAACTGACTATTCATTTTGGATTTAACCTGACTTGCACAGAACTTAAGCAAATCATAAGGATCAAATAGTTCATGATTATTATTCTGCATGATATTTGTCTAATTCCCCATTAAAACTCATCAGAATTGACAGTTGTCGTCCAAGCCTTGCAAAGACAAAATTTCATAATTCCTTTAGGGTTAATGTGGACTCTCAGAGAATAAGGAGTAACCCTTACCAATCAAAATTATTACAAATGACTCTCAGTGAAAAAAAAATCCTATTAAATTCCATTAAATATAGTTAGCTGAATACACTGAACATGACAAACCAAACCAAATATAATATTCTTTGCTTAGTATATGAGCCCAACCAAACGGGCTTACTTTTGAATAATCATATGGAATTATCAATGTCTACCATACAGGCTTAAAATGCATGCCTGATTATATAGATTTTTTAAACTAAACTACAGTGACTTGTCTCACACAATCTTGCAAACCAACCACAGGGGACTATAACACAATATGTAAAGACACAATCAATGACAATTTTAAAGAACAAATAAGAAGACGACTTCTTCTTCTTCTTCTTCTTCTTCTTCTTCTTCTTCTTCTTCTTCTTCTTCTTCTTCTCTTCTTCTTCTTCTTCTTCTTCTTCTTCTTCTTCTTCTTCTTCTTCTTCTTCTTCTTCTTCTTCTTCCTCCTCCTCCTCCTCCTCCTCCTCCTCCTCCTCCTCCTCCTCCTCCTCCTCTTCCTCCTTTAGACACAGTTATAGGAAAACTTCCATTTTTCTTGGTGATCAAAAGAAGAAAGGTGGACAGACATGGAAAAAGGTGAAGGATGAAAAATCCTCTACTCAGTCAGAGAGTAGGCAAAACAGAAAACGCAGGCCCTGCTGTCTCAAAACATTTTCTGTGCAAGTCATCTTGAAGAGAGATGGGTTAGATCAACCAGAAGTCCAAAGGGGGGGGGAAGAGAAATGTGCTTTCATCTGTAGCATATCTGGCTGAGACATCACCGCTTCCAAGTTCTTGAATTTCCCCTTTTTGCAAAT